TTTTTTTTAAACTGTGTCTAAATCCTCATAAATCCACATTTAATCCGTATTTTTTTTAAGAAGTAACTTCTGACTCACTGAAAAACATCAAAATAAATTATTTAATTGCAGTTTTATTTATTTTGGCCATAATAATTGTTTAGAGAACAGTAAAAGAATATTGTTTTATCAAAATCAAAGAATAAATTATGAGTTTTTTTTTTTTCTTTTCTTAAAAATTCAGTATTTATTATAATACAATATAATCAATTTTACTTAATAACAGAATCTGATTTTCTTCTAAAATATTATAGTTTAAATTATTATTATTATTTTTTTAAAGATGTGCCTTTTTTAAAGAAATCATTTTAAAAGTAATTTTTCCAAACTTCTGAGTAAATGTTGTTGATTAATAAATTTAACCTACACATACATTCTTACGAAAGGATTTTTACTTTTTTTTCATCTGGCTCATTCTCAACCTCCTGATTCCTCTTCCAGAGGACACCCCGTCCATTGACTGCCCCATATCCTCGGGTTTTTACTGTTTGCTAGCAGCCAATCACCCATTGTTAACAGTATCTAATTGGCTTCCTCCCTACTGGTGAATCCACCTGTACCTACCGAGTTAGGTCTGTTCCAAACCACCGAATGCCTCACCTGCACTTCAAACACCCCCCTCATGCCCCTCCCCGCACCCGGACTAATACTAAAATAATGAAGCCTGCTCCACTCCAGGTCCAATTAGGCATGCACATATCTATCTCCAGCGTATTTACACTCTGTGACAGCTTCTCTACATCCCTCAAGTTGGACTCTCCACAGCAAAAAAGACATAATAAATGTGTCATTAGCACTTCTATTTATACACACAAAGAGGTGAATCCTCATTATCACAAGACCAATAACTTGTCTTGACGTGTCTAGAGGTCTTCTGAATAAAAATGAAAGATTTCTAGACTTTTATCACTCTTGATTTGGTCAGGGGTGTGTTTTTTCCTCTCATCAGAGGTGCGAATCAAAGAGAGTAAACAATTAACGGATAAAGATAACAAATTGCTCCACAAATTTAAAAATAAAGGAAAAAAATGATGGATGGAGAAAAATCTTTTTCTCCTTTCTTAAAAAAAAATATAACCTATTCAGTCAAACGGTTTTCAGTTTGATTATTTAAAAGACAATAGACTCTCAAACCAGCATCAAATAACACATTAATCAAAAGCTTTAGGGCTTAGAAGAAGACTTGAGACACAGATTAAAGAATCTAAAACCACATAAAAAAGGGCAAAAGCAGGTGGTGCTGTCTCCGGTTTTAAAGGAAGTACAGGATGGGTGAGTCAGCGGCCCCAGTCTGTGAATGGGCCAGCTGATCCTTGCAACAAACTCCCGGGGAGAACGGCAGAGCTGGAAATCTGCCGCCATTCACAAAACCAAATCGCCACAGAGCAAGAAAAGGGCTACAAATTTCTAAAAAAGTGAATCCTCAAACAATTTTTAGAGTTTTTAAACCTAGGGAGAATTAACCTAAACTTATTTTAGTTAGAAGAATCTTTTAGAATTTAAAACTGTAAAATGTACTTTTTGATATAATTATTTCTTTCTAATAAAATGCACCTAAATGTGTTAAAGAGGCCGTCTACAATAGTTTGGACCAGGTGGGGTGGGGGGTGGGGATAAGACATTTAGCCGTCATTTGACAAACCTTCAACATCTCCGTCTTTGGAGTCGGAAATTTAACCCGTCTCACATAATTCTTCCTCTTCGTCCAATTACCTGAACCAATAAATCTCAGAAATGAGAAGGTATTCCTTTTCATCTTAATGGACAGGAAGTCATTCATTAAATCCACAATCTTGAATCGTACATCATCACATTGATCCATGACAGGCAGAACTGTAATCCTTAAAAGAGGAATCCCACCAGCCGCTGTCTCCTTTTTCATCACTTTAGATACTAAAATATTTAAAACACTTCTTTTACATTTTTACTCATAACACCTTATTGCGCTTCACCGCCGTTCAGAGTTGTTTAAATATTCCCGGATCTGTAACAAAAGAATATTTCCCATTTTTTAAAAGATTCAGACTGCTCTGGCGGTGAGTGATTTGGAAGGTGTTGAAGAATAGATGGTGTCCATAAATGATTGAGTCTCCTTTTGTCAGGAGACGAAAACTGTCCCGAAACAAAGCTTTGAGGTTAACTTGGTATTTTATAAAGTTCAAATATACAAATACAATTAAATCTACGTAACTTTAAAAAATATCAAAGCTAAAGGCATATTTAAATAGAAAGTTTAGAATATAACATTTTATACTAACATGTTATATACACATGTTATATAGTCTTAATCACTTTGAATTAATTTAAACCTCAAAAACATTTTTAAAATTGAACGTTTCCTTTGTAATTTTTTTAATAACATTTTTAGGTTACAAATATCCATATTAATGTATTTTAACTTTGAATGCGATAAATTACATAGTTTGCCACAATCTAAAAAAAAAAACCAATTTTTTATGTACTGTAGGAGAAATATTGCTGAAGAACAGCTTAAATTTCTTTATAAAAATGTTTTGCCATTTTATTTTTTTTTTACAAAAAACTGTTAGCTTTAGCCAAGAACTAAAAGTCTCATACTACAAATTATTTTTACAGTTTAAGTTTTAAAAACCAAAGTTTGTCTTAAACTTTTGCATTACATGGAAGAGTAAAGGAAGTTGCATTAAAGAGGAGAGAGAAAAACTAACATTAAACACAGGGAGAAAGAAATTTTTACCAAAAGTTCTGTGCTGCAGACACGATGGAAAGAGGACGCTCGCGCTTAAATCCTGAAGCATCCCGTCTCTGTTAGACCACAGTGAGCAAGTCTTGCCATCAGAAAAAAAGTATTCAAAAAGAAAAGAAATGGGTGGAAGTAAAAAGCATAAAAACTTGTCGTTTCTCAGCGAGATTGGTTTGTTTTGGAAGTTTTCAAGAAAAAAAATTATAGATCCATTTTTTTTTTTCCACCAAGAAATGAAATTCAAGAAGACAAGGTGATAGTAAAGTACAGCTGTAGAAGATAAAGAGACAAGTGCTGAGAGGAAGCAACTGGGAGAGAAGAGGGGAGGGCAGAGGAGAGAGAGAGAAAGGGTTGAGAGAGAAAGAGAGAGAAGGAGAGAGTTGGTGGGCTGCAGCAGAGCTCTGGTGGCGGCTGGCGCGCAGCGTGTTGGCTGCTGCCAAAAACAGGAGCGACAGTGAGCGTCGGAGAGCCTTCTCCTGGTAATCTGTGATGACACTCTCTGGGTAGAGCCTCCTTGGTCTCCCTCAAGACCCCTCGCTCACAGTCTCTAATGTATGCATGACACACAAGGTGCCTCTTCCACACAGGCTTTTAATTGGACTGCAACGCAAAGCATGTAACTCCAAGCTGCTTTCCTCCCCCTTATCACCACCACCACTGCACAACCTCTCCCATTCTCTTAACCATCGTTCATTCTTTTACTTGAGATTAAAATAAAATCTCACCTTCTGCCAACCAAGTCTCCTGCAGCTGACTGAGGTCCTGGAAGAGCTCTGAGAGGAGAAATGGTAAAAAGAATTACAAAAGAAAAACATTCAAAGCCAAAGAGAAGAGTCAGAAACAACTTGGTTCATTATGACTGGCTGATATACTGCTAGAGCTCCGAGTGTGCTGCTAATAACAAGTCAATTTGTGTCTCTGACCACTGACAGAGGCTTGTGAGGATCATCACAGGCCGCTGTGCTGTAATTGAGATTCTGTAGTTAGCAGTGCAGGTGGCCACAAGCCAATTGAATTTTGCTAAATGTTTAGAAGCCGTGAAATTAACTTCTCCCTCCGTCCTGCACCTACCTTCAGTGTCCAGAGCCAGGTCGGACTTAATGAATTTTCTTTTTCTTTCGTTTGCTGGACTTCCATAGCTCGATGTCTTCCTTTGCAGCTTCTGGGGGAAAAAAAAAATATCGTTCTTTCTATTCTGTGCAAAACCACAGGCTCTATCACCAGTGGAGCTGAATAGGCCATTCATTGCAGCTCCACTTACTTCTAAAGCTGACAAATGAGGGGAAAAGAAAAATCACAATTGTTTATGTTTTGACCAATCTTGAAATCCCATGATTATCATTGCTTGGTGGGATTGAAAGGATAACATTTACTGCAGTTTACCATTATGATATTCTGATATCACTTATAGTGATGTTTTATAATTTGCTAACTTTCCCTCCTAAACAAATAAGCTGCATTTAATTTGCATATTTCTATGTCTAAGTGCAAATCTATGAAATATTGTCTAAGATTACAATGAAAATGCAGTAAGAAAGCGTCGCATTGATTAGATTGAAACAATGCTGCAGCGACCAATACAGTCTCCCCATAACAGTGCATTGTAAAAGTATAAAAACTGTTTATTATAGAAAAACCCAATCCATCTTTACATTTCTATGTAAATAAAAACAATTTCTTCCAGTTTTAGATTCCTACTTTTCAGGTGACAAGAAATATGTGGAAGTAATTTGTTTTTTTAAATTATTATTGTTGTTGATTGTCGTTTTTCTTTGATGAAGTGCAGCTGAAATTCTAACTGAAATAAAAACCTGCTTATTACCATCAGCATAGATAGTATATAACTTTATTTTGTTAAGAAATAAAAGTTTTAAAAGAAAGTTTAATCCATGATAGATTACACAGCAATCAAAAAGAAATCAAAAGATCATAAATCCAATGTAAACTATAAAAAAAAAGATTCAAATAATAAGTCAAGATTGCGTTAATTAACTGTTTGAATTAGTAGACAAAGGAAATTCTTTTTATATAAACTGTTTTAGGTGGAGTTGTGATTACTTACTATGGAGTTACAATAAGGCACCTGCTGGTCATGATTTCCATCCATTTTCCAAGACCTCCAGTCTGTATCCTGTCCCACTCCTTTCAGGCGCTGTAAAAGGAGAGCATAGGAACCAAAAGAAATATATATTATGAATTACATTAACTGTACTCAAAAACGCAGTTTTCTTCACGATGTAATACTGTAACAAACTAAAGTTGACAGACAACAAACAGCGCGTTAAAAGGAGCGCACGGAGCTATAGAGGGCGCACCAAAATGCCTCCTAATTCAATATAAACTTCAGTGGATGAGAGGTGAAGAAGGACTGGGGGGGGGGGGGGGGGTAATATGCACCCACCTGGCGCCTTCGCGTCGTTTTCATCCAGGCACAGAAAGCCACGGAGCCGCCGGCAGGATCTGCACCGGTCCCGGCTGCTGTCTGAGCGTCTCCCCGCTCTCTGTGCTTGTTCTGGGCGGCTTGGCATCGCCTCCCGGGGCCTCCCATGGAAACAAGCGGCGCTCTGCTCCCTATTGGTTGTCAATGCCTTTCAGTGGATCAGATAGCTGCGGGCAGTCAATCACGCCCGGATGCAGGCGGTGCGCACGGGTAGGCTCAGTATCAGTGAGTATGGCCTCTTAAATGATCTATAATAACTTTGCATCATTGTTTGATAATATTCAAAACACTCAGGCATAGTCCACCTGCACCCCTCTCCTCTCCTCTCCTTTCATCTCACACACAGTCCTGTCTTCATTCCCTCCTGGGTTTCATTCACATACAGTGTGTACACACAAACGCGCCACTCACTTCTCTATTCGGTCAAGTTTGTGACCATGGTAACGGTGTTTTGAAGAGCCTCCAGAGGGACTTGCTTAAGCGCCAGCTCTTCCCTCTCATGTAAAGGGATACATTGTTGGGCGCTGAAGACTTGCAGAAGGCACTGACCTGGAAGTAACGCACAGGTCACACTTAAATCTCTTCGAAGGATCAAGAACAACATTTGCTAACAGAAAGATGTAGCCTATGGGGAAAAGCCTTTTTACATGAAGAAAACTAACTTACTTTATACATTTACACAGCATCGACTCGGATCTAATTGAAGTCTATTGGGACAGATTTTTTTTTTTTTGCAACTTAACCAAATGCCCTGGAAAAGCCTCTACCTCTCCCTACAACTCCTAACATTAATTTGCATGCAAGAAACCTTAATTCTTGGCAAGGATAAGGTGTTCAATCCTGCACAAAGCACATAAACTATTCTATATTTAACAGCATCAGCAGCTTCTGATAGACACATGCATAAAAAGTCATTTCAGTTCAAAAATATGTTATTGGTGCCAAATAGAAAGTTTATGAAATAGATAACGAAACTACAGAAAGCATTTTACAGAAAGCAGTTTTATTATTTTACTTGTTCCTCTATGGAGTGATTTTTCTGCCAAAACGTGTACAAAAATGCATCTTGCGCACACACATAAAGCATGTTGCAAATGCGTAAAGCATGTTTCACACAAACAAATCTTATCACTCACAAATAAACATGTTGCACTCAAATAAATGTTATTGTTCACAAATAAAACTTGTGTTACAAACTCTCCTCTAATGTCACACACAAATACAACTTTTTTTTCAAACTGTCCTTGAATGTTGCACACACAACAATTTTTGGTTTTGGAAACCGGACTCTAACATAGCACTGAAAATATAATTTGTAAATTGTCCCTGAGTACAAAATGATCTCTGCTCGCATACAAAACAGCCTCTCCTCGCGTATGAGACAATTCTTCACACTCCGCGATAAGTTTCTGCCAAAAGTCACGTGATAAATGGAGAACTGTCATTCTGACTAACCGACAGCAGGAGGCGCCATACAATCAAAACAACTGAAACGTGCCGGTGTTACGTCGAGCTGCGTTCCCCCAAAATTAGTTTGTAAAAGTAATTTTTGTGTGTGTGCAACATTTAAGGACAGTTTGAAAAAAAACGTTTTATTTGTGTGTGACATTTGAGGAGAGTTTGTAAAACAAGTTTTATTTGTGAACAATAACATTTATTTGAGTGCAACATGTTTATTTGTGAGTGATAAGATTTGTTTGTGTGAAACATGCTTTACGCATTTGCAACATGCTTTATGTGTGTGCGCAACATGCATTTTTGTACAACGTTTTGGCAGAAAAATCACCCCATATTCCTCGTGCACACATTTTCTCAGACCTGGCAACCGCCTGGTAAATAAAGTACAGAACTAGTGCTCCACCTACTGGTCGGGAGGAGTTGAGAATCAGAAATACTTTAATAATCCCAGAGGGAAATTACTTTTGTTACCTCTCCAGATGCAAAATTTTTTTTATAGATATATATACAACAAACCACCCAAGATAATATAATATAAATAATAATAATATAATATGATATAATATAAATATATAAACATATAAACTTAAACTTGTAGATTTGAACTTAAAGATTTCGTTTAAGTTTTATAACTTTTGTGTCTTTCTTTATAATATTTATATTAAAAAGTTCAGACAAATAAAAAAAAAAGTTAATAATGAAAACACAATTATCTTTGCTGCTGTCTTATAGCTTTCCGCAGCACCTGTCTTTGCCACAGGGCCGTTGTACATTAGAAGAAACAGGTGAATTTAGTTTTAGGAGTTTTCTCATCGTTTTTCCTGTTGTGACCGGCCTATAGTGAGCACCACCCTCACTGATCAAAAAGAAGAAAATGAATAATAGATTTTTATTATTATTCATAAGTACAGTATCAGTTTAAGTTCATTAAAACAGCCGCTTTGGATTTTATTAGCCCATTAAATGGCCTTAATTAGCACTTATCAGTCCTACAGAATGGCCTCCTACATTCTAGTATGATCAGTAGGTTGTTATCACCAAATTAATCCTAAGCCTAAAGTAATTCCTTTTTTGCTTGCAGAATAAATTGATCTATTTATATTTAATCTGAGCATAAATAAAGTACTTCTTCATTTATTGTATGTAAATTGATCTGTTTGTTGCCGTTATTAAAGAAACCAAATCAAAAAACTGTCATATCCTGTCAACTGAGTTGATCTTAAACAACACATAAAATCCATACATATTAATTAGAAGTAAAGCTTTGTAATTAAGTTTTATAAAAAGCAGGTATATTGTAAACAAAGTAGATGAAGAAATTATAAAGCAATTTGTAAAGAAAAAGATGGTTTTAGACGCGGCTAAAGCTGTTATAAAAAATAAACTGCATACAGTAGTATAAGCCATAATAAACCTACTAGAAGGTAGAGGAGACACAGCCTGAAGCCATTCTATGGGACAGAAATCCACTTATAACCTCCATTTAATGTTTGGTCACATCCAAAATGGGTGGTAAAAATAAATAACACACTACAGACTGATCCAACTTTGATGAAATGACCTAAAAACAGGTCAAAATTAGGCTCTGTATTGCGTGGCCTCCATGTGCCTGTGTAAGCTCCCTACAATGCCTGGGCAGGCTCCTGATGAGGTGTCTGATGGTCTATTAAGGGATCTTCTCCCAGACCTGGACTAAAGCATCTACAAATCCTGGACAGTCTGTGGCGTAACGTGATGTTGGTGGATGGAATAAGACACGATCTCCCAGATATGCTCAATCGGATTCAGGTCTGGGAAACGGATGGGCCAGTCCATAGCTTCAATGCCTTCATCTTTGAGGATCTGCTGACACTAATTGTCCTGCATTAGGAGGAATCTAGGGCCAACGCACCAGCATATGCTCTCACAAGGGGTTCTGTGCTGGAGTTCATTTTGCAGGGCTCTGGCAGTGCTACTCCTGTTTCTCCTTGAAGAAAGGCTGAAGTAGTGGTTCTACTGCTGGGTTGTTTCTCTCCTACGGCCTCCTCCATGTCTGCTGGTGTACTGGCCTGTCTGCTGGTAGTGCCTCCAGCCTCTGGCACTACGCTGACAGACACAGCAAACCTGCTTACCACACCTTCCATTGACCTGCCATCCTGGATGATGTGCACTACCTGAGCCACTTCTGTGGGTTGTAGAGTCCATCTCATGCAACAAGTTTAAAAGCAGCACCAACATTCAAAAGTAACCAAAACATACTGAGAATCGGTCTATATTCCCCACCTGCAGAACCACTCCTTTATTGAGTGTGGCTTGCCAATTGTCAATAATTTCCAACTGAATACTTAAAATTTATGAATTGTTTGTTAGCATAAGGCCCACCTCTGGAAACAATTTCCTTGAAATCCTTTCATAACTTTATAATTAAGGCAAAGCGTGTGTCTGGAGGTTTTGGTGTCTGTTCTTCTCTCACCTTCTTCATTCACTTTGTACTCTGCTTTTTTTTTTGATCAACAGATTGAAACTTCGAGTGACACATGACTCACCTTTCCTGTGTTTTTGTCTTCACTATAATACTTCTGGACTTTTTTGCATCAGATTCTGAAGCTGTCAATATCACTGCTGCCACTCTGGTTTACAGGGGAACTGCTTTTTCCTCCAAATAATATAAATAAACAATAAAAAGAATCTTTAAAAAAAATTTTGCAACCAGAATGTGATGTGGACCATAATTAAAATTTTATGGACTGTTCCTTGGATTGAGGTGCACCTTTGGTGAAGATTTCATTAAAATTAATTTGTTTATAACTTCTCAAGTTATCCTATACACAGAGAGACAAACAAACACACAAACATGACTAAAATATAACCTACTTGGCAGAGGTAGTTAGAGCTTGTGTAAAGTAACAAAATAAACAATACAATTTTTGTATTTCCTGTCATAGGTATATTATACCATCATTTTCAATGCCAAGGAGAGGTTTTATTTCAGCAAGCACTTGGTCAGAGCCACTCTGCTGCAAGAAGACTTCCAAAAATACCACATGGCAGGCTGGAACGTCCGCTGCAGGCCGCAGCGACAAGACAAGTGCGCACCGCGCACGATGGAGCAAATGAGCAGGTGGAAAGCGGCGTCCACAAACGAGGTTGGAAAGGAACGCGCCAGGAACGCGTTAACGTGCTGAAGGCCAGCCTATTTATGGGCGGACGACAGCACCACAAATTAACATAATTAACTTGCTAAAAGAATCCCAAAATATATTAACAAAAGATCCTTCAACTAAAGTTTATAAGAAAACAAAGAAAAGAAATGGACAAAAATCATAATGTGCCCGAAGCACATAACACAGAGGTAGTTAGAGCTTGTGTAAAGTAACAAAATAAACAATACAATTTTTGTATTTCCTGTCATAGGTATATTATACCATCATTTTCAATGCCAAGGAGAGGTTTTATTTCAGCCATCACTTGGTCAGAGCCACTCTGCTGCAAGGAGACTTCCAACAGCACTACAGGAGCTTCTCAGATCCATCTGTAGAAACAACAGCTGATGGCTGCCCCTCATTGGACAACCTTTCATCACAGTAACTCACCTTAGAGACACAAACAGCCTTCTTTTTTTCACTCACGCACACACGGTTGATTTTCATAATTTTTAAAGATTCAGCTGACCACAACCATTGATTTTTATTGATTATTGTATTTGATACCCTTCATTTCTGCATTTACCATTATAAAATGTAAAATTGCTCATTTACATTATCTGTAAAACTGGACACATTAAGAAAGAAATGAAATCATTACTGTTAAAATGAATTTGTCGTCTCACTGTTGATTCCATTTCCATTATCTGAGTGGGTTGGTAAATATATTTTTACATTAGCCCCCCTGAGAATATTTTTCACAAGCTGCTACTGTTATCCTTTATCATATTACAATGGTAAACGTGAAAAGAAACTTCCAGGTTATTCCAGGTTTTATGTTTCATAAAAAAAAAATGTTTTAAAAAAAATAACATTAAATAAGTGTGTTTGAAGTTATTATTTTATTATTCTGTTTGTTAGCTGAACATGCCAGCATTAGCTTGTATGTTAGCAGTAACTATTAAGTAACTATTTAGATTTTGTTTGGTTTTCAGTATTTTTTCTGTACTCCTCTTGATCCGTGTGACAGATAACTAATGCATAATGAGCATTGATAAATAAACAGTAAAAAACACTGTTGTCTGTTATTACTTTTCTATCTCATTGATTCAAGCTATTTCCAAAACATTTCTATATTAACAGGAACAAAACAGTTTTTTTTATGCTTATACAGTGTTTTATTTATACATTTCTTTTAAATAAAACATGTACAGTAATCAGTAGTTTCTGTATCTCCATTCATGCTGTTTTAATGTATTTGCCTTTCTACAAATGTTTCCAAATTTATACTTAAATGATGATTGCTATGATAAAAAAAATACAAAGTAAAAAGCCAAATCTGAATTTTAAACCTTTAGTGCTTTGATGAAAGTAAAACCTGTAAGTTTTCGATAAAGCATGATTTGTGTTTTTCAGTATCTCATAATTCTTTAAATAGAGCACTTTGAATTAACTTGTTTAAATATAAATGGTTCATTGCAATAATCTTCTCTTTAAGTTTAAGAATACACACACACACATAGATACTTGTTCAGCAATCGTTGTGAGGATCATGTGTTGACTCCCATTAACTTCCATTGATTTTAAGTCATTTTCCATCCCTTCTATGCCTTAACCCTAAAACTAACCCTGAACCTAACCAGTACCGATGCATACCTCACCCTTACCCTAACCCAAACCGATTGACACCGTAGCCCTAAACCTAGCCATTAGCAAAATAGTATGTGAGGACCACCAAAATGTCCTCACTTTGCCACAACTGGTCCTCACTCTGAGGGCTAAACAGGCATACACACACACACACACACACACACACACACATACATACATATATATATATATATATATATATATATATATATATATATATATATATATATATATATATATATATATATATATATATATATATATATATATATATATATATATATATATATATATATATATATACAAAGCTTTTGGAAAAAGTACTACTGAACTTGGCAGACAATGTAATACTTCTTTTCAAATCAAACTATGCAACAAAAAAGAAGTTTTGTTGAATTAACCTAATGGATTCATTTTTATATTGTAAAGTCATATATTGGCCTTTTTAGGCTGTTTTGTATCAAAGCCAGTAAATTGTTAGCTTAAACCTGTGTAGGATAGTTTCTAGTGAATTCCCTGAAAATAAAGTTCACCATTCTGAGAAACTCTTGACTGAAAGATGGACATATCGGAAGTAGTGTGTTAGTCAGTAGTTCTCACGCTGGTGCCATCTTGGATCCAGGCAGGGCTCTATTACCAGGCAGGTGAAACTGATGTGAAGTGAAGCATGGTGTCATTCTCACTGAACTCCACCAGGGATGGAGAAACGCAGGTCAAGTGCTGGTGCCCACGCATCAGAGTCTGAGAAATGGCCTATATCTCTAAACAAGGGCTAGTCAGAAAAGGCATCTAACAGCCGATTTATAGAGGAAAATGGCAATATGCCTCTGAGACATTGATTCCTCTTTAAAGTATTAACTGTATCAATAAGGTCCAAAATACTTAAAAAAAAATGACCTATTTGGCTCATACAGTAGACGGTTCAGTTAGAATATAGGGTGTAGTTAATCACCCTCTCAATGATTTCCTTCACTTCCTAAGGATTAATTGGGTTATTGCTTTGACTTCCCTTTTGATAGTAGGTCTGAACTAACTGTGCTTACAGAATTATTTTATTAAACCACGTTGCAGCATTAAACAACCATGGTGCATTTTCCAGCCATGGTGTTTTTTATTCTTCAATTTCATTTTCACTATCCATATTTTCATTATTTTTAAAACATGCTGAATTGTCCTTTGCATTGATGTTGCAGTCTTTCTCGGTCAACATCTGGACCAATTTAGATTTAAGAAGACTGTTTTTTTTTTTTTCTTGTGTTTATTTAAGAGAAATTAAGTGTTGAGTTAAAGTTCACATTCCCTCTGAACAAATTGCCAAAAAGAATTTTTGAAAGATTTCAAAATATAGAAATCAAAGAAATACTAGAACACTGGATCACACAACACTAGCCTTTAATTGTTTCTTTCACTTTTCTCAGTCAGATGTAACTTATCTGTGGGCAACAACAACGCGGCGTGAGCGCAAAAGTGAAGCAGGGAGCAGAAAAATAAATCACACTGTGTACAAAAATACAACTTCACTGTACAAATGCTGCACTTTACAAAGCACAAAAAAATAAGGAGACTCAGATCGTAGTCTCCGCATTGCAAATGGCACCTCTAAAGAAATATCAGCTGGTCCAACTATTTTATGTTTTCCGAAAACATGCAGAATGCATTTTAAAAAGACACTGTTCTTACAGAAAATGTGCAAAACATCTAAAGAATATTAAAAGTTTATGCTCTTGGTGCAAGTGAGGGGAAAATAAAAATACAGAAACGAATCAAGACCAGTGCCAAGGGTTAAAACTGCAAACATTGATTATATTCATCTTTTGCACCATATATACTTTAACTCAATTTATTTTGAGATCCTGGAATTAGTTGCATGCTTTCAAGAGCACCGACAGGCTGTTGTCATTCAATGTACTTTTCTACAGTCAGTTATAACATTTATTTGTTGTTTGCTTAATTTATCACACAGCAAATTAATCTTTAATCGTTGAACAGGTGATGAACACTTAATGAATGTCCAAAAACCTGTTGCTCTCTCATGCAACAGTATGTGTGTACAGAACTGGTTAAACTGTCTGAAAAATTCCCATGCAGCATAAGCAAAGAGGAGCATGCATGTTGAAGAGCAATAAATAAATGTGTCCCAAAACCTCTAAAGAGCAGCAACAAAGCTGATAAAATTGTGAAAAAGATGACTTGTATGGACTATGGAGCAAACAGATCTCTATTTTAGAAGCTTCTGGTAATGAAATATAGCTGGGGTCTTGAGCAAATACCCTACAATCTGCAGCAAATGTCAGCAGACAACATCACCCTTTTTAACTCCCCATCATGCATCAGGTGTGTGCAGAAATACAGCAGAACAGCATAAACAGCAGAGCATTATTACATTTATAAATGCATAATTTATCTGTTTGGTTGTTCAAATTGGCACAGAGCACAACAGCAAAAAAGACAATATTTTTTACAGAAAATAGAACAAGAACAGAGGAGTACTTCCAGAAATAACTTCGGTATTTTTGGAGCTCACTGAAGATCAAACTGTCTGTTCCGATCACAGTTTATTTTGGATTCAACAACGACAATCTGAGACACATCTTCATGCTGCAGGCAACACAAACCGAACCTACAGCATGCTACTGGGCGCTTGGCTATGAAAAAGGCATCAAAGTCCACTTTCTCTGGACCACTGGGTCTCAATGAAACGTGCCTACAGCTGCCCTGCAGGAGTCTAAGAGAACTCAAATCTGTCCCACAATGATGGTTTAGTCTTTGCTTTCAGAGCGCGTTCGTCTCAGGATGGAGGAGAAGAAGCTGCGGCCTTGTGACGGTCCAATCAGCATGTGAGCCTGGTTCTTGTGGACAATCTCAATCTATATTAAGAGAAAAACACAATGACTTTAACTTTCAAAGCATTCTATATGTTTTTGTAGAGAACTAGACTTCCTGATGTGATATTCTCCAAAATACAACTAAATGCACTTTAATCCTCTTCATATAATTTTACAAAATGGCTGATTCAACATTTTTTAAAAGGTAATCCTTCAGTGAATGCTGTAGAAAAGAGGGGAATTAAAATAAAAGTTAAACAAACTGCATGATACTTCAAATACTGGGTTGAGGGAGAATAACAGAGTAGAAACACAAAATATTGTTGGTTTAAAGATGACATCATATCATTTTCTTTAAGATTATTTTTTAGGCTCTAGTGGCCTTTATTTTTGTTGTTTATGAAAGTATGAATACAGGAAAGTTGGTTAGAACAGAAAGACATTCGTCAAAGGCCAGCAGGGCCGGGACCTGCATCTGCTATAGCCAGTATATGCACCTCCACGCCATAGCACCACTCCATATCAAATCATTTTCTAGAACAAATGTTTTGACTGGCAGCAGCATCTGTGATTCATTAGACATAAACTTTTCCTCCTTTTTGGTGTTCTTAAACCTTCAAATCATATGAGCTCTGTTGGCCTTGATTTTACTTTCAATTTTAATAAAATAAGACATAGGTTAGCACCCCTCTCTGATGAGAATGCTTAAATTAGTTACTACTTCTCTGAAAATAAGTGAATGCCTGATAATGAGTTCATAATGTGATATTCATTAACAATGGATAGATATCCAAATTTCTCATAATAAAATCTATTCTATATCCCACCAATTGTATATATTTATATTAAACATGTATATGCCTTGAGAGCAAAGTGAAACTGAAGTAGGAATTCCCATTTATGTGCACAAGCTTAGCTAAAAGTGTTTCTTTTGATACATAATGTAACCATAATAATCTATTTAATGATTAACAGCAGGGGTGCATGCAATTGGTAAATGCATGCACTCCTATGGTATGATGACAATGTAGTAGGTGGGTAATATTTCTGTCTGATGTCTCAGATTTGAAGGCTGCCTTTTCCAGACGACATGTTTCAGCTCCTTCCAAAGATGCTCAATAGGATTTAGGTCAGGGTTCACAGGCGGTCACTTCGAAATAGTCCTCTTTTTCTCTTTGCCATTCTCAGCTGTTTTTAGCTGTGGGCTTTGGTTCAGTATCCTGCTGAAGACCCATGGCCTGCGACTGAAACCATGTTTTCTGACACAGCAGCACAGTTCTCTCTAGAACAGTGTTTTTCAATCCTGGTCCTCAAGGCACCCTGCTCTGCATGTTTTGGATGTTTCTGAGGTTCAGGACACCGGATTCAGATGATTGTAGTTCAGCAAAGCCTGATAATCTGCTATCAATTGATAACAGGTGTGTGAAAGCTGGGAAACATCTAAAAAATGCAGGGCAGGGCGCCTTGAGGACCAGGACTGAAAAACACTGCTCTAGAATTCCTTGATTGTCTTGAGATTTCATTGAACTCTGTAGAGATTCTAGACACCCTGTGCCAGATGAAGCAAAGCAGTCCCAGAACATAACAGAGCATCCTACATGTTTTATATTTGGGACAGAGTCCTTTTTTTTTCATTCAGTAAACATAGGGCTGATATGAAAAGATGGCAAAGAGTTCCCTTAATTAGTACTGTAAGTCAAGACTTAGTTTTTGCAAAAATAAGAAAGCTCACATCTTCCAACTTGGGAGATTAAAGTCTTCTTTTTAAAAGATTGACTTATTTTCTGTTGTTAATGTTTAAAGGTTTTCGTCTCACATAAAGGGAAACAGATATTTTGCCTGGAAGACTGTCTCATATAGCACTGAGGCCCATTGTACTTACATTATTACAAACTTTCTTTTGATGAAAAAAATTTTTCCCCCCCTCATAATTTAAGTTAATGTTATTCAGTTGCATCATTCCCCTTGTGTCCTAATTTATTCCCTCACACTGCTTTGCATCATGTTATTATGGCTTAAAAACCTGCATCACAGTGAATCAACTTTAAGTGGTAAATGAAACTGTATTTAAAGCTGATTTAACTTGCATTTATTAGATCAGTGGAGGTGCATACATATATAAGACAGATAATTGTTGCAGCAGAAATTGCATCTCATCTGTGATACTTGTAGGCTTTCCAGAAAGAGGAATATCATAAGTCTCATAAGTATGGTCTTGTAGCCAGCTATAGGCTAAAAGTTGGGAAGCTGACATGATATCCAGTCTTAAAAAGGAGGTCAAAAGATTTTAAATATAGAAACAGGACAAATAATAATAAAAACTGAACTTTATTGATCTCACACTGGAGAAATTAACCTCTGCATTTCACCCATCTCCTTGGGGAGCAGTGCTCAGGGACCCAGAGTGCAGGCTGTGGGTATAGAACTGGGTGCTTGCAATGTTCTCAGAGCACAAGCGCTCTGCTCTAACCACTAGGCCAACACTCCTCCAAATAAATGTTGCTTTAAAGTGCATTTTCAACTTCACTTTTAAACCTAATTACTTATCTTAATATGTAACAACGGTTCAACCAATATTTCATTTCATACAATGTCATCTACTTGCAGAGCTGAATTCAGTAATGCGTCACTAACAGAAGCAATCTCCCATATGGGTTCTTGTCAAATGGCTTATAAATGTACATCTATAGACTTCACTATAACACATTTTGAGAATCCCAGGGATGTATTACTATGACATCAAATGGTAACATATGTGCATCATAATTTATAAAACAAATTGGGCTTTATGGATCCACGTTGTCTGAATTAGCAATAATACTATGATGTTATGAAATGTCTGATGGATCAGTTCACATCGACTGTCAGTGTTTGTCAGATTCAACACATCATTAAACCACTACACCAAGAGTCTCAAAGCACTAATGTGTAGCTTCCATTTGCATTTAAAGGAGCACATTAGCTTCAAAGTAAAGGCTGCCATTTATTATACTTGAACTTTGACTTTGTGGCAGTTAGGGGCTTTTATAGACTTACTTTCATCATTAAACGAGGACCTAACACTTCTGATTTTTCTTAGGATGCACAAGATAACCTTTTGAAGCAAGACTCTTGCCACAAAAGGAAAGAAAGATCAGAAGGAAGAATGAAGTGAAGAAGTAGCATTAAAATATCAGAGAGGTGATTTTAAACTTCTGTGACTTTAACCAAAATAATCCAGTTAGAAATGATTATTATTAAATCCTTATAAGTAGGTGATTTTCCTGGACTAAAACTGAGATATAAAGCAAGAGTTTATGTTTGCAGGAGTAATTTTAGATCGAGGTATCAAACACTTAAATAGATAATATGCTGCAATGTTGAAAAGCATATGAATTAAAGTCATACAAAATGAAATACAGGATGGAAAAGTGGTTATTTGCTGTGCACTTACTCTACATACGGTGTTAGAAAAACATACATTTATCAAATTTAATAAAATATGAAGGGTAGGGGGTGTTCTTAAATGTATAGGCTGCAGTGTTTGGTGGTACCTTTTCTCTTTAATAGCATAAAAAATAAGTAATTTGTTTAAAAAAACATCAAGGTTTTGTTTTTCCTGCAAATGGATGATTTAACAGAATGTGAAAAGTCATTATTCATCATACTGATCATTATTTAAAACATCACTGATTCATTCTGACACCTGGGATGCCAATATTTTGTTTTAAAAGTCTGACTGATGGTGAAGCATTCTTTGCATGTGCTAATCTCACAGGTGGAACAGTCGCGGTTGATGAGCATGTTCTGCACTGATGTTAATACAATTCTCTCACATGGTCCTTAGGAGGAGACAGTCATCCAGCTGGATGAAGCTTTCTTGCAGCTACAACAGTTTTAGCAGCAGTTTCCTGCCTATGAGGCAATTTAGAATGATAGTGGCTGCACATTTTCTTTAGGGAACCATTGCTAACACAAGATTCCAACCTTTTCAAGCAAATTTGCTCGTCTTTAAAAGAAATTGCCCTGCAGTTAATTAACTGATTCCCAAAATGATTTGAGTTAGAGTACTGAAAAGCCTGAAAATATTTTAAATGGATTGGTCCTACTATTCGTTTTCAGTTTTGCAGTGAAAAACTTAGAAGTAAAAAGAAATACCAATGAAGAAATATTCATCTTTAAACTGTAAACTACAGCACTATACATCACTCCTAAATCTTCCAGCTGATTGGCTGTCTTTTGCTTGAACAACATGTTGTGAGACAGTAAATTGATTTAATGACTTACAGTGCAGGGAGTCTGCATCCAAGGTTCGCCGTCAATCTGCATTGGGAGGGATTTACTGGTTCTGTAGGTTATAAACAAGGTTATAAATACAATGCAGTAAAAATACAGATAAACCAAACCAGACAGGTTGTGTTATACACACATTCTTTTCAATAACACGTAATTACAAATGTAAACAGTAGTATTGGAACCTCTGGCAAAGATGGGCAAAGCATTTTGAAATTAACTTCTCTATTTTTTCCAGTAGCTGTAATAAGGACATTTTTAGAAATCTCTTAAATAAATAAAAAATCAGAAATTTGGAAAACCATAGGTGTAACATTTCTCAGCACTCTGTTTATTCATTTAAACTGAAATCAAAGAATCAATAGATGTGACACAAAAAAACAATTTTAAATAGCAATTCAGGTAAAAAAAAAAAATGTGTGTTAAGGCTTGGTGAGAACCAAATTTTAACACTCTACCCCATAGAGCAGTGGTCTCCAACCCTGGTCCTCAAGATCTACTGTCCTACAGATTTTAGATGCATCCCTGCTTCAACACAGCTGAATCAAATGGATGGCTTGAAAAGGTAATCAATCATTTGATTCAGCTGTGTTGGAGCCGGGATGCATCTTAAATCTGTAGGACAGTAGATCTTGAGGACCAGGGTTGGAGACCACTGCCGTAGAGTAATGGATAAAGTAAAATAGAAAATGTTCAGAGATCATTGTCCCACAGTAACGTTAAAAAAGGCACCTTAGGGTCAGGAAATCTCCAAAACAACATCTATAAGGAGTCTGGGAACCAATTTGGAAGCATGCCAAGAAAATCCATTGTGTCTCTTACCATTTCAAACGTTAACACCTGGAATTTGAGAAAAAGCTCCCAGAGTTCAAATGAAACTGTGTATTTTGATCAGAGGAGAGTAAGTAACCAACATAACTGATGGATGTGGAGTGAAACAATGGATAAGTATTCGAAAAACCCCGAAAAATACACATTTCAAATATAGAACTGGTAGCTTCTGCTCAAAAACTGAAACATGGCTTTTCCAACAAACCTGCGCCAATGTTAAACTGAAACCGGTGCTACAGCCTGTTTGTAAGTAATAATTTGGTTTTCTAGAAACTTAAAACTAACTGGAATTTTTATCATAAATGTTTGACCCTCCTTCCATTTCATTCTCCATAAAGATCTGTAATGTAGCCATTTAAACCGGTGTACTGTCTATATTTAAGTTGGAACAAGTTTGTATTGTTTTATTGGAATTGCTTAATCTTTCTGAGTATAATATAATTGGAATATAGAAGGGCTATTTTGACCTTAGAACATGTGACACGTCAGTTATACCATAATCACAATCTGCATATTAGGCCTTTTAAAGATTGATGAGTGGACAGAAAACCACAGGTCGAAGCTTCCCTTTTTCTAATATCAGAAGATCAATTTATTTCTAGAATATTAAGAAAGAACTGCTGTTTGTGGGCACTGACCTTATATCAGCATTAGGAGAAGAGGTATCTAACTCAATTCCTTTAGAGCTGCTGCTCAGAAAACATTCACTTCAACAAACCTGAATAAGATGCCTGAATAACCTCCTGTTTTCCTGAGGACAGCATTTCTATTGTCTGGCCCTGCTCAGAGTTGGTGCTGAGAGAAAAAAAATCAAACTGTTTTTTGGGAAAGGAAAGCTTTCAAGGATAGTGGATTCTCATAGAATTGGTGGCGAGCACCTCAAGCCAGTCCCAGTTTAGAACTGGGACTGGCTTGAAGGCAAAGCCGCTAAAAGGAGTTAACACCAGGTCTTGTGAAACACAAGATCACACAGAATGCCTCAACATACTCCTTATCTAACTTATTCATTTTCTAATTCAGTCTCCAGACCTAAAACTTAAAGAAAACATCTGGGATGAAGTGAGAAGAAGAACATTACATTACATTGCTGTAATGCAAATAAAAAATATTAAATAATCTCCTCTCTACCAGCTCCAGATAATAAAATCTTATGGCAGAATGTTATGTGCTGACATATCAATAAAAGGAGGTTATAAGAAGTATAAACCTAAAGGTGTACATAGAATTATCATACATATTTACTACAGTAGGAAGTGTTTCCCATTAATATTCCTGTATTGAAGTTTAAAGTTTTTTTATTTGGCAGTGTGAGATAAATCTACTGCAAAATAGACAAAATTATTAAATTAAATATATTTTACACATCTTTTCTTAAGGTATCATTAACTGCTCTGAGTCTTTGATGAACAGAAGGTATTTTTTGGGGGGAAAGACAGACCTGATGGTTACAGAGGAGCATTGGGCCAGACGTCTTCCAGCGCTCTTCAGGCCCGTGTAGATCTGCCCCATCTCCATGGCTCCTTCCAGTCCCACCACCTCCAGAAATTGGTCAGACAGGTCTAAGATGACGAAAAAGACAACACCAGTGACATAAAAATCAGTAACCGAAGTCATTTCAAACAACATCAATAAAAAGTTTTGTTTTTGCAACTTAAAAAAAATCTTACAGTATTTTTTTTCAAACTATTTTCCACAATAAATGCCAAAGTCTTTTTGTTGTTGTTTTTAAAGAAAAGTCAAAGTATTATACTAAATTAAGGAATTGAGGGGAAAAAGGGAAGTCCGCTAAGGTTATTAGAAGTTTGTGTTCATCACTTCAAGTTTTTGCTCCTGAAACACGTAATGTTCACAGTTTCGAATGAAAAAAGGAAAAAAGCAACAAGCTAAAAACAAAACAGCCATTAATTAGATTGCACCGGCAATGCAGAGCAATCTTGTAATAATATAATTATTAATTTCTATGCTGTTTTTCAGTTATGAGCATTGATTTTGACCCTGCTGGAGGCTCAGTGTCATGCAGGGCCCATCTGTTCTAGCGGCCCGCTCCGTCTCCATCGACTCTTCACTCCACAGATTAGAAAGCTGCTGCAGCACAGCTTGGAGTATCCAGATACTAATTGAAACAAAGACCCATTTTTAGATGCTTGGTGCGTGAGAGCGCGTTAGCTCGCTGTCAGTTGTGGAGCTCGAATGCTGTCGTGCTTATAGGAGTCGGGTTCGTTTCCTGAAGGAGTGTCGGAGCCGATGTTGCTGTTCGGGGTGAGTTGTTGATGCTGCCGAGCTCCGGCATGCAGCTGTCACCATGGTGATGGACATGCGTCTGCCCCTATCTAAAAGTGGAGCTGTGAAAGTAGAGCTTTCTAGGGTCAGAGTGGAAGAGTCTGTGTGTACACACAATCCACAGCAGGTTGACCTCCTGGCTCCAGGGTTTAAGGCTGAATCTCCCATATTTGACTTCCTACTTTATCCTGATGCAAAAAGCTGACAAACACACGAAGATCCATGTGCTGAGATATATGATGAGGCATCACGATTGGAATTCCTTGTTTCCCTGGCCTGCAAAGATCATCATACCGCACTGAAAAAATTCTAGGTGTAACTCGTATAATAAACTTTAATAACTGACTAGTATCAAATATGTTTTCTATTCTAGTACATTAGTCATTGGAAGTCAGTATTTATTGAAGCACATTATATATTTAGAAATTAACAGCCAGCTGACACCCATACAAATTTTTCTTAGCTTTTTTTTCTGTCACACCTCAGCATTGTACAGTAGATCGACAGATTAGGTTTATGTTCAGACTGAGACAACCTAAGGAAATGCTGCATGCATGTTCGGTATGAGGGATTGCTGCAAGGTCAACGACACAGTGCAAATAATTCTTCACTCTCACTACATAATCATCCAGGATCATCCAGGAGTGAATTCTGTAAATCACTGACTGGATGCAATCTGCTTGGTTTCCATAAAGTGAAAACTTAAACGGAAATATAATTGAAGTGAATCTGTGAGGAACCTTAAACTAATTTAATGAATTTCTTTTCTATTTTTGTCTTTGAAATTTAAAAATGAGCTTTCAATGAATGGTTCAATTCATTAAAGGGTCATGAAAAAGGTTTCTAATGATCACTGCCACCTGTGCCCAAAACATCAAAAATGCAGCACTCTTTTGCTTGTTCTCATAGCGTGTGCTCGTACTTCGTACTGTTGCATTAGCCTGGCTAACTAGATTGACTTACATGTGTGTGCAAGTCAGTCTGGTAAGGAGTAACACTCTGTTTTCTTTTGTTCATAGATATTTGTTCATAGAGAAAAATCTGTTGAAGTTTTCTCTCTAAGGAAACCAAGCAGATTTCATTTAATCAATGATTTGCAGAATTTACTCCTCCTAGATCTTCCAAACACAGGCAGGCCCATAATGAAACATTGTTTTTCTGTAACCCTAATAGTCAACTTTGTAGCTGTAATGTTTTAATTATGACCTTTATTGTGTGTGTATTGTTACAATTTCAATAACTGACTGCTGAAAGAGATTTTTCTTTTTTTTTTAAGAGTATTTTGATTGTTTCTGAACTGTGTCCACTGAGTCTGTTAGCCTCCGCTTTAAAATGGTGCTCTATCTGCTCTTTTCCAGATGAATACGTCTTATACACTGCAAAAATTAGTCTAGCTGGCCAAGTTGATGCTACATAATACTTTTTCAGCTAAAGGCTAATGCATTGGTAACCAGGTTTTTCTAGCAGTGATTAAAAAGCACGGTTTTATCAAATAGGCAAGTTGTCCAGCCTTAGTGTCATTGAATCAATAAATGGTTTTAAAGCAGCACCAGACCTTCACCTTATCAACAAAAAGTTAAACTGATGTTGTGTTTTCCATATAAGCTGCGCTGCTTTTACTCCTTATAGACGAAAGCTCCCGTTTTCTTCCCCTAAGTCTAAAGACATTTCTTCTCTAGTCTTTGGCAACATTCAATGTTTTATTTAGGAAGATATCAGACTGGCTTTGTGTTCTTTTTGGTCAGCAATGACTTTGAACTCTTCCATAGGTTCCCTTTTGCTGACATTCTTTTTTATTGTTTAATTATTAACCCTGAGTTTAACTGAAGCAAGTCTTCTGTGCTTCAGATTATACTCTCGATTGTTTTGTGACCTTGGGGATGAGTCAACTTTGACTCTTTGGGTAAATTTGGTATAGCGATCAGTCCTTGGAAGTTTCTTTACTGTTTTGTCAAATGGACCAGGGGTTGGTAGTTCTCTGGAGTGCAAAAACCATACAAATGGCTTAAAACTCAATCCAAGACTGATAGAAGTTGATTAATGTTTTTTTTTCTTCGCTTTTCTCTTCTTAAGTTTCTGTAGATCAGTGTATGATGTGCTCTTTATTGATATTGTTCAGCCTAGTTCAAGTTGTCAGGAAGGTTTTATTAAATATATCTATAAGGTTTGTTTGAGGGAAGCGAGGTGCTTCAAATGTAGGCAATCACAGTTTATTTATGTTTTAATAACAAAGCCAATAACTTTTTTCACATTAGGTTGGGTTACATGGGTTACAGGGATATAATGTTTTTTTTTTAACTTCATTTAAAATTATATGCTTCCTTTAACATCAAGGAATGAATTAAATGAAAATAAAACAGTGCTGTGGCTTTATTTCCAGACAGCTAGTGTGATTAGAGACGGCATTCTTGTCACTGTCGAACAGTTGGTGGCTGCTCTGACACATGTGGTGCGACGGGCTTTGGGCTGAGGGCTAAAAGACAGGCAGTGACGGAGCGAAGGGGAGCGGGACCAGATCAGCTGAACGTAAAACTAAAGTGGAGTGGCGGGAGGAGGAGGGAGGGAGGGAGGATGTGAGAGGGGGAGATCCTCCGAAGAAAGCTTCATGAGGGTTGTCAGGGGGGATCAGTTCTCGACGTCAACCCCTTCCACCCACACATGAACCTCCTCTCCCTTCAACCCCCCCTCTTTTGCAAATCCTCACTCCCATTCTAAATAATTCACTCTGCAGCCATTCCCTTCCACCTGAGGGGCTTGTCTCCTGGCGTCACCAGTGGGACGATTTAACAGCTCCCGAAAGGTCAGGTTCTAGTTATTTATTTATTTATTTTTAGCCACCCACCAGTCGCCAATCCGCAACACATGCACACGCATACACACGCTTTCTCTAAATAAAATCCCTCCCAACAGTTTGATCTGTGGATAGTGCTCGCTGGGGCCCCCGTGGGCAAAGGCACTCCTTTGTTTACCTATAAATACAGCGTTCTCTTGATCTGACAAGTTAGGCCGCTCTCCTTGAGGGCACCTTCCACAAGGGCATCCATTTTCACATATGAAGCACAAGTGGATAAACACTCACATCAATAGACTCAGACAGAGTCAGATAAATACAGCTTTGAACGCAGAGCAAATACACACTACTCACTCACGCTAAAAGCCTTCCTGGGTTCGGACTCCTCCAACACTAAAATGATTGATTTTTATTCAAGATTTAATGGAGTGTTCATTGTTGCAAGGTAGGGCCTTCAACTGTTGAAACTTGCACTTATAAACTTATTACAGAAATAAGAAGCATCCTATAATGTAACCTGTCAAATATTGTGGGTATGAGGGGGGCATAAAAAACTCTTGCAACTTATATTTTTTATTTATTTGGTATAACCATAAACTTCACATTATTTCTGAAACTGGGTTTAGACAATGAAATGAAAGAAAGTACAATTGTAAAGAGGGTAGAAAACGATTTATCTATGAAGTAAGACAACTTTTCAAGACAAGCTTTCAGCTAACAAAAATCTAAAGTTATAAAAAATGTATTTGTATTCGTCCTCCTATAATCTGATACCTCTGAAATAGTATTTTTGACTACAGCTGCTATTTCAGGGCTTCAGTAGGTCGTTGGAAAATATTAATGCAGAAGAAAGACAGCCGACAGGTCCTGGAGAGAGTTTTTGAGAAGCATGGTTGCAGTAAATCCTATACAACCATACCATCCATATTTTCTAATATCTCAAAGACTTTCTGTTCAGAAAACAGAATGAGTTTACCACAATTACAAACATAACATGGTCCGGCTGAGCTCATATGATGAGCAAGGAGAATCCTCATCAGGAGGCCAGTAATTACACTGGAGGAGCTGCAGAGATCCACAGCTCAGGTTAAAAAAAATCAATAAGGAGTGATGAGAAAGTAAATTTTAAGGAGTTATTTTGCTCATAATGAGGGCAAATACCTTAGTTACTGTGATATTAAAGTAGTTAAAGTAACAGTGGGGTTACTTTTTATCGCCACAAAATGTTAATTGTTTTAATGGCTTCCTGTTATCCTAACTTTACATGCAACTCTGAGTTGAACACGTAATCATTCAATTCATGCAACTACATTTTCTCTTCCTTTAAAGCTGCAGTCTGTAACATTGAGAAGAGAGCAGACTTCGACTGAAAATTTGAAGAAAAACAGGTTTCACGCC